CATAAATACCAGAGCAATACAATATAGAGAGGGCAGACTTGCTATTTGTGTTCTAACCTTGTCTACCTTATGTTATAACTCCAAAGGGGGGGTTCTTTCTTTTTCCTTACTATTCATCATTGACCCTGTACTATTACAATGATCCCATCACTTGATACGTTTTACATGCATCACTGTTTCATATCTATTGTGTTTCACCTCTATTATGTTCCACCTACATCATGTTTCACTTATATCATGTTTCATCTTTGTCACTGTTACAACCCAGTGAAACTGTTTCATGTACATCACTGATCCAACTCAGTGTTTTCATACTTACAAAATTTTATTTGCCTTGCTCTATTTAAGTAGCACTACTTATGCTACTGTACTTTAGTTTTGTCCTCTTGTTCCCTACATACCTTCATAGGGATATCCTCAGTAATAGACCCAGCTGTCTATTCCAGTTCTAGTCTGAAGCCTAGCTTCACTCAGTATACGCTCTCAAACCGCTATCAGCTATAGCGGCTCAATCTAAAAGTCTAAGTCCAGTATAGTGTGTCAGCCTTACGCGTATAAAGTATCAGTCTCATTTCTCAAGTCAAACTCCTGATCCTCAGTCATTAGGTCCCTTAACACTTTATCCTAAACTCATCCTCTGAGTTAACCACTCCCAAGACAAGCAACTGCTTACCTCTTACCAATTACCAATACTACAAGTGAGTACTGAGATTAGAGGATTGGGTTGGGGACAAGGGCAATACCTTGACAGTATTGACATGTTAGGTATTCTTAGATAGCTAATGGCATATGTAGAGCATCAGTCAGCCTAGGTGTTAGGTGTACTACTAGTAGTATTAGGGGTCTGGTCCCTTATGTATAAATACCAGCATAGATAGGGCAGACTTGTTATAGTGATCTACCACTCATCTACTTACTCATCTCTACTCTGAGCCTACCAAGCTCATATAAGCCAAAACCTCCAAGCTTTCTTATATCAACTACCAGTATCACAAGTGAGTGTTGGGGTTAGGATATTGGTTGAGTCAAGTATCAAAGTGATACCTTGACATCCTGTCTACATGTCTTCAAGGAAGATGAAATTCCTGGACAAAAGCAGAAACCTCCACCTCTAGTCATAGTGAAAGGTCAAACAGAATACAAAGTCAAGAAGATAGTTGACACAGGGCTCAATAATAATTACAAAATTGTATATTGAGTATGCTGGAAAGGGTACACAGAGGATGCTGGCACTTGGGGACCACCCAAGGCACTCAAAAAGGTTCAGAAATTGGTCAATGAATTTCATAAGAAACACCCTAAAGCTCCTAGACCTATATCAAATGTTAATGATCAGTCAGATGATGTATTATTCCAACGTGAAAAGATCAACATATACAATAAAGATAGTGATGATTGGGGATATAGATATCTCCAACCTGAACCACTAATCTTTAAGAAGACTAAGAACTTTGTGTTTCTACCCAAGCAAGGCTCAGAACAAGCAGCAGGATTTGATCTGGCAGCTGCAGAGGAAATTGTCATTGAACTAGGAACAAGGAGTTTAGTTGGAACAGGCCTCAAATGTGTTATTCCTCCTCACAGCTATAGACATATCACACCTTGCAGTGGGCTTGCAGTCAAAGGAATTGATGTTGCAGCTGGAGTTATAGATTGAGATTACAGAGGCAAAATAAAAGTTTTGCTCGTGAATAACAGCAAAATGCCTTTCATAGTACATCAAGGCAATTGTATAGTACAGTTAGTGATAGAAAGAATTAGTTATACTGAAGCACAATGGGGAGTACTAGGTTACACCCAACAAGGGAAAAGTGAATTTGGATCCACAGGAATGTCTTCTTCACTGAAGTCTCAGTCTTGAAGAGGGGGTAATGGCACAGAATTTCTTAACATCTATCTTATCTTGGCATCTAGATGATCTATATCTTATCCAATTAGATATCTTTCCAGATAGAGATAGTATAATAGATAGTGACATGTTACTAGTTAGGTGGTTGTCCTATCAATTGGGAAAGACTATAGTGAATCCCCATTGCAAGGGAATATCCCCATCATACCTAGAACCATACAAGGCTGTTTAGGTGATCATCAGTTGAGCTACTGAATCAACACAAGACAGAGTGTTCACACATCAGGTATTCTTAGATATCCAATGGCATATCATGAGCATCAGTTAGCCTAGGTATTAGGTGTACTACCAGTAGTGTTAGGGGTCTGCTCCCACATGTATTAATACCAGAGTCATACAGCAAGACAGGGAAGACTTGTTATACTTGTCTACCCTCATCTCAGCTTACCTAGCTTACTCAGAGCCTACCAGCTCATTAATCAAAGCCCTCCAGCTTTATCAACAACTAAGCCAACACCTTTCAATATCAGAAGTGAGTGTTTGGAGTTTGCTTGGAGTCAAGTATCAAGACAATACTTTGACTGTAAAGGGACCTAATGACAGAGGATCAGGAGTTCAACTGATAACTGAGACTGACACTTGATACGCGTAAGGCTGATGTGTTATACTAGAACTAGACTTGGGTAGACTGAGCTGCTATAGCTGATAGTGGTTTGAGAGCGCAAACTGAATGAAGCTAGACTTCAGACTATGACTGGAATAGACAGCTGAGTCTATTACTGGGTATGTCCCTATAAAGGTATGTAGGGAACAAGAGGACAAAACTAGAGTACAGTAGCGCAAGCAGTGCTACTTAAATAGGACAAGGCAAATAGAGTATAAGTATGAAAACACTGAGTTGGATCAGCAATGTATCTGAAACAGTTTCACTGGGTTGTATCAATGATGAAGATGAAACATGATAGCAATGAAATGTGAGGTGGATGAAATGTGATATAAGTGAAATGCAATATATATGAAATGCTGATGCAGGTGAAATGTATCAAGTGATGGGATCAGTTGTCTAGTACAGGGTCAATGATGAATAGTTAGGAAAAGAAAAGGAACCCCCCTCCTGACATTGTAACATTGACATCCTGTATGTTTTGTTTTGGTCACAATATACATAGCCATTGGACTGCTTACTGTACACATGGTCTCTGCTACTTGTGTTTGTCTCTCTTAGAGCGCACATTTTGTATTTAAGCTTTGCAATCTCTTCACAAATGACAAGTTTTTAATTTCCCTCAGTTCAGAGCTAAAAGTAAGACTTTATCTACTGCAACTTAAACTGCATTTTACTGTGTTCTACTGCAACTTTGATCTACTGTGTTTTTACTGCAAT